CTAGAGCACCACAGCAGCCTCCTGGAGCATGGGGCTGGAGCCAGATCCCCTCAACAGACCCCTGGAGCGTGGGCCCAGGCCAAAGCCCAGCAGCTGCCCCTAGATACGCAGGGCTGGAGTCCTGCGGCAGGAGCTGGAGTCTCTGCTGTCCAGGATGTCAGTAGCAGCTGGACAAGGAGCCCAGTCAGGTTGGGGGTGAGGGAGGGCAAGGAATGATGCCTGCTGGGGCAGCCTGTCAGCAGCAGGTGATAGGCTTGGGCGCCAGTGGCAAATTGGGCTTGGTCCAGCAAATTCTCTCATTCAGAACTGGTCACGTCCCGATGGTGCTGGACCAGGCTCCCAAACTGTACTCCCATACAGCCATCTGAGACTTTGGAGTGCTTCCTTTCTTACTAAAGTTAAATTTTATGGGGAACCTATTTGGTGTTGAACCCAGCATTAGAGCTAATAGTGCTAGCATCTAATATACATGGTTTAGAACCTATACTGATAATCTCATGCACCTTTATGATTCGTTTGGTGTTAAATGATTTATACAGCAGTGACACCCACATATTCAAGTCAGAATCAGAAATATTTGCTTGAGCTTCATTTTATTAGATTGAAAGCTCTTTGGATCAAGGATGGAGTGTGTATGCAGACAGTGGAGGAGAGGGTATCTATATATACAGGCAGTCCCTGGGTTACGTACAAGATACGGACTTAAGTTGAATTTGTATGCAAGTCAGAACTGGTATATATTGTAGGGGAAACTCTAGCCAAACATTTCTCCAGAGCTCAGTTTTATTCTCCCACACCTCACTTCCCTCAGTCCTTTATTCTCAAGCTGAGGTGTCTGCTGAGAAAAGCCGCTCCGCGTCTCCCTGGTCTGCTGGGGGGAAGCAGCTAGTGCAGGGTTGCCTCACCCCGTTTGTAAGTAGGGATCTGATGTAAGTCGGATCCATGTAACCCTATAACCCATGTAACCCGGACTGCCTGTGTACACACACACACACACACACACACACACACACACACACACCCCCCAATTTACTTGTGTTGTTTTATATTCCTTAAATATTCTTCAAATATCAGCTTTCATCAAATGCCTCTCAGCTTAGCTATTATCTTTGCTTGAATGTATGTGCAAAAGGAAGAAATTGCTATTGGAATTATGTAATTTTGATATAGTTTGTATATTTTTACAATTCTGATATTCTATACAACACAGTTTGCTTTTTTCTTAAGGTAGCCTTACATATTTTTAAATCATGTGATACAGACCCTGGCATAGCTTTACTGGCATAAAGATTAACATCTGCAAAAACCCCTGCAAACTCATTTAAATCTTTCTCCCCAGAGAAATCTGCTGTATCATGGCAAGAGGATGTTTCAAAGCAACCAAAACCATCATATATTATGATCTTGGAACAGAGAGGCTCATCTATGCATTCCAAATGTTACATCTTTTAACAATTGCACTTTGAAAACACGATTTTAACAATAGCCGTATTTTCCTCAAGCACAAGGATCATGCAATAATTAAATGTTTTGACATTTCCCCTGACGTTTCTGCTTTTGGTACAAAAAACCCTACAATACTGACTATTTCCTGATATTTATGAATACAGAAAATGAAATTTTCTGTATAAGATCAGAAGCCAGAGAACCATCTTAATTATTAAGGCCTAAAAGTTATAGTAAATGTATGGCATTTCATTAAAATCCAACTTTTTTCTAATTGAAGTACTGCTGTTTCCCATTTTCTGTCAAAATGCACCTCAAGAGTTAAGCATGATACATTCAAATGCCCTTGGTATCCTGTAAATAAATGTTGTGCGTCTTTTAGAAATGTAGTAAACACAAACCCCTACAATAGGTTTTTTAAAAATCAATAGGTATTTTAATCCTTCATGAATGTGAAGTTATTCCATATACAATGAAAAGAAAAAAAAATACACACTTAAATCTAGAATATTGTGCTGTTGCAAAATACTCCCACCTGGAGCAGTTCTAAGATAACAGCATTAAGACAGTAACAGTGTAACATGCATATGATACGATCCTAATCTTTACTTTCTAATTAATTAATGTTTGTACTGTGCTATGTTTGTACTGTGCTTGATACCTCCAAAGTGTTATTCAAGTGCTAAGTAGTACTATGCTAGCAAATATTTGCCAGTCTTTGAGAGAGAGTGTGTAAAAATGAAATGCACAGCAATGCAGCAAGATATCAGTGACTAAGAGGAGACTGGGATAGGTTAACAAAAACATCAGCAGAGGAAAATTCCACTGCTTTTAACAAGCAATCAGATATAAATTAGTACTCATCAGGGAAGAAAAGTTAATTTTTCCAGTGTGTAGAATTTCTTATCTGTGCTTATTACATGCAAATTTTAAGTAGGTGTTTCACATTATGATACCAGAGCTGGTCTACCTAATGAAAGAAAAAAGTTCCAACAGCAGTAAGAGTAACCAATCACAAACAGACAAGTAATGTTTTAAAAGGATGACATCTTATGGTCAAAATTGTTGGTGTTCTTTGAGTAACTCTCTGAGTAACTAAAAGTTTGTGTTCTCTGAGTAATTGAGTGTGTCTGTGTCAAGAATCAGTACAGGTTTACTTGCAGACCTTTGCACCACTCACTAATTATAGCAGATTGTGGAACTAAGCATATCTGAATTAACAGCTACACAGAGTGTAGGTGTGAACATCTATTCTGTTGTGTAAGTTATTTTTGTCTTACAGCTGGATTTTTTTAGAGAACATGTTCTGTTTGTTTCATTGCCTATTCAACCAAGAGGGCTTAAGATGCACTGTGTAAATGTTTCCTGTGATCCAATTCTATAGCAATCAGTTCCTAACTACAGGGTGCTAGTAAAAACAAAATAGCAGCTCCTTGGCCATCAGTTACCAGGACAGGGCATATGAACCTTTAATGATGCTTCTTTTTATCTTGTGCAATACTCACCATGGCAGCAATATTTAAGTTATAGTTCAAAGCAATGATGGAGATGACCTGTGTACACATACTACAAGAAATATATAATAAATTGTCTTAGGACGCTAACTTCCTAAAATCAGATAAACTGATTAAAAAGCCAAAACCTTTTTATGTGTTAAACACACTAGGGATGTAATAGTGTAGTCAATTAACCAAGAAGCAAAAGCTTATATGTTAATGCCATAGACTACAAACATTAAACCCCCTTCTCTCCCTTCCTCCCCCACCAGTAAATCATTTAGCAGGGCTAGACAGCAGCCTGGCTTGCACAGTCGGAGATCTACCTCTGCTGCAGCTATGCATTTAAAGTGCATTAGGAGCCAGGCAGGCAGGCAGCCCAACTCAGTTCCAGCTCACACTGGGTCCGGGAGCTCAGCCCCTACCCTACCCAGACAGGGGTTGCTGTCATCCCCTGCCACTACCTCTGTATCAAAGGCAGCAGCATGGGGCAACAGACAGCTAGTCCGCAAGGGGAGCGGACTCACACCAGGTACCCTGTGCTGCTGCCTCACATACAGAGGCAGCAGCACAAAGAGGCAGGAGTCTCCTCCAGAGTGGAGACCCCCACCCCCACTATAGAATAGTAGAGTAACTTAGAAGAATGCATAATTAACTGATTGATATTTAATATCCCTAATACAGAAATGCCATAATACAACCATGGAGGTGGTACAGAGCACACCTATGCCAAATACACATAGGCTGTGTCTAGACTGGCATGATTTGCCGGAAATGCTTTTAACGGAAGTCTTCTGTTAAAAGCATTTTCGGAAAAGAGTGTCTAGATTGGCACGGACGCTTTTCCACAAAAGCACTTTTTGCGGAAAAGCGTCCATGCCAATCTAGACACGCTTTTCCGCAAAAAAGCCCCGATCACCATTTTCGCGATCAAGCCATTTTCTCAATCTGAACTGTCTACACTGGCCCTTTTGCGCAAAAGTTTTGCACAAAAGGACTTTTGCCTGAACGGGAGCAGCATCGTATTTCCGCAAGAACACTGACAATCTTACATGAGATCGTCAGTGCTTTTGTGGAAATTCAAGCGGCCAGTGTAGACAGCTGGCAAGTTTTTCCGGAAAAGCGGCTGATTTTCCGGAAAAACTGTCTAGTCTAGATGCAACCCGCCTGGGAAAAGAACTGTTCATTGCCAATACTATTCCGCATGTTATGAACTTGCAAGGATAATTATTTTTTTCTTCTTCTCTATCGGTCAAAGCTAGTCTCCAAGCTAAGCTGCGGAAAAAAAGTCACAAAAGACAAGTGATGCAATCGGGGATTTATTGGTCTGACATGGATTTTTTTGAGGACTTGTCAACTGCCATACAAGGCAGCTCACCCTGATTAGATTTGGGTTTGTTTGTTCTTGCATTCCCGAGTCCCCTAGAAGTTTTTGACAACAAGGCAGCACATTGCAGAAAGCAGAGCCCAGCCGCATGCATTTCGGATGGTGTCTGACTGCTCCTGCAGACAGCGCATGTTTGAGAAAGGAGCAGATAAGAACACCACCTCCGCCCTCTCAGACGGAGCCGCCTTGTTGTAGGTGGCTCCCTCCACCTTCCTGCCTACGATCCCGCCGCCGAGCCCAGCGTGACACCCAAACAGCTGGCTGCTCTGCTTCCCTCACGCCGACCTTAGCCCATTTCATGGGTGGGAGCACAACACTGAAGCGGGGTCCCTCGCTCCCGTCCAGCCCATCTGCCCCCGGGGCGGGGTTGGGGGGGCGCAGGCGGAGCACTCCCAAGGCTAGGCCCTGGCGGGGAGGGGGAACCTGGCGCACAGCAGACAGCAGGTCAGGAGCAGAGAGGGCCAGAGGCATCCCTGGCCCCGGCATCTCATTCCCAGGGCTGGGTCCGAGCTCCCGGGGGAAGCAGAGGGGAAGGAGCAGCGGCAGGCGAGCTGCCCGGGACCCTCCCCCGCCTGGCCCCCGCTTCCCAGGGGGTGCTCACAGCAGCCGTGTCTCCTCCCCGCCCCCTCTCCTCCGGCATACACTGGAGCGGGGCGGCGGGGGCAGCTCACCATAGATCATGGCCAGGCCGGTCTCGTGGAGGAAGCGCACCCGGCGGTGCTTGAAGAGCCAGATGGTGAGGATGGTGAGGGTGAGCAGCAGGATGAAGGTCAGGAGGCTCACGCTGTCCTGCCGGTGACTCTCCTCCGCCTCCTGCTCCGTGGCGATCTCCTCCATGGCGCTGCTGCTCCGCTCCTCTGCCCGCAGCCCGCCGGCCCGCAGCGGGGGCAGGAGCAGCGGCAGGGGGGGCCGCATGGCTGCGGGGGAGCCGCCCCCACTCGCCCGCTGCGCTGCCTGCAGCTGAGCCCCGGGCTGCGGCTGCTGGGGCTGTGTGCGCGCAGCCTGCCCAAGCAGGGCACAGCTCCAGTGCGCAGGATCCCTCGGCAGCACACACGGGACACGCCGCCAGCCAGCCAGCCGCCCCCTCGCCTGCCCGGCCTCTTAAAGGCGCAGGCCTCCTCCCCACGTCCAAAGCGGATGGGGGCAGAGCTCGCTGGAGCCGGCTGTGGGGGGGCTCATGCGGCGCTGCGCTGCGGGGGCAGCCTGGGGGAGTCTAGCGACAGCCGGCAGGACGAGAGCGACCCGTTCATTGCCTTTGTGCGGTATCAGGGCTGGGGACTGGCTAGACATGGGCGGGCGGGCGGGGGCTGGGACCTGTTTATCTAGATTATCCAAATTCTCCACTTTCTCCCCAGCTGAAGAATTGTCTCTCCCGCTACTAAATGCAAACGCTGTGAAGGCCTGGTTCTCTACCCTCTTGCCCTAGGCTGTGGGTGGTCATTGACAGCTGTGCAAAGTGGTCGTAAAACTATCCCTGCACACTGGGGGTGGGTGGGTAAGATCTTACACATGCTTGGCACAGATGTAAGTGACTACTTAGCATGCAAAGCGCTTCATTTCTGCAAGCACCGTTTTTCCACATTATTTTAAAGGGGCATTACAGCATTATGATTAGAATCTGCTATATATTTGAGCTAGAGAGAGAGAGTCTCTCTATCCATCCTCAATTTGTTCTAATCTAAGGAGTAAGTTATTTCCTCTAGTCTAAGGAGTAAGAGCTAGGACCACCGAATTGGTGTACAGCTTCCTCTTATCATAACTTATAGCAAGGTCAGGGTTTGGTTGTGCTATAGAAAAGAGATAGAATCACCAAAGAGGTGAAAGGGACTAGCTGAGAGCACACCAGCCCAGAGCCTTTGGGGGGACATTGCTGGCTGTTCTATGTCAAGGAGCAAAGGGAACATGCACAGTTCGTTGCATTCCTCAATCTCACTGGGGAGAATGGGGCAGATGATGCTGGACCCACCATAGCTGGGGAGACAAGCACCCCTCCCCTGGCTGTGCCCACTGGAGCTGCCGTGGTCATGGAGAACCGCGTCTCACCTGGCCCCAACGTGGTACAATGAGAGAGGGCTGGGGTTGTTCTCTCCATTCAGGGCAGCCTGCATACTGAACCCCTCATCTCCAGCCCCATCCTAGAGCAATGATTTAAATGAACAAAACCAAAAATTAATTGAGCTAAGGACTAGAGCAACACCTGGCAAAACTTCTAGTAAGGCAATAGTTTACAAACTATATTGCCTGTAAATGCCACTTTATTGTTTTAAAACTAAGAAATTTTGGGGTGGGGCAAATCAAACTTTGGTTCATCTTGCTTTATTTTTTTGAACTGACTCACTTTGGAAGATGAAATACACTTTTTAATGTCACTTAACCTACTCAGTTTCAGATATATCCAGAGGTGAAAGTAAGGGGCTACACCCTGATGCGCAGTTCCAGCAAGAACTGGCTGAGCTGCAGCAAAAGCCAGTAGTGAGCTATTTTAAGAGCTGGGGACCTGGGTAATGATAGCATTACCTGTAAGAAATTTGTTACTTTCGCCCGTGGTTATGTCTTAGCATGTTGTAATTTTTGATGTTTAGACACAGCATTGGAATCCAAATAAGTTTCTGTTTTTATTTAAACTTTATTAATGAAATGTTTAAATTAATAACAATCAATTTTGTAAACTGAATTGGGGAGCCTAAACTACATGACAGTGACTCTCCTAATATTTTTTTCAGTCACCATCCACAGCAATCAATAGCAGAAATGACTAGACATTATAGTAACAAATCTGCCTCCCAATATGGCTTAGGGTGATGCTATAGGTCAGTGTTTCTCAACCAGTGGTACAAGTACTCTTAGGAGTACCCGAGAGAGTTCTGGGGGGATACATCAACACAACTGAAACTTGGAGAAAACTGAATTTTTGTGTTAAGTTTTATAGCGCTTTATTTTTGTACTTTTTACACCCAAAAATTTCATTGCCCACCTGGGTACGATTAAGTTGTTTAAACAAATGTGTTGCAATGGTAGAAAAAAATGTGTGGGTCTGAAAACTGTAGGTATTGGTGGTACTAATATTTTTATTTATTTATTTTTGGAAAAGGGGTACTTTATTTTTTTTTTTAAAAGGTTGAGAAACACTGCTATAGGTAGTCTGCATCAGTTTCCCCTCTTGGACTGCTCAAATAAACTTCAGGTCATCTCAATTTTAAAAAATCCATCTTTGGGGACTAAGTTTATCAATATAAGTTTATCATAAATAAAACTCAGAATTCTGAAGTGCATAGAATGCACAATTTCTCTTCCTGCTTCCAGGCCTTCCTGTATACGGCATTTACACTCCTTCCTGTGTTAGATAAGGTCCATCCTAGACATCTCTGTTGGGCCAGAATTTCTCCCAGGACTCCCTGCAGACTCTATCATAACATCCTAGACTTTGTCCACTTGGCTACAATTTCCTGCTCTTTTTTACACTGCAATCCTCTGATTACCTTTTAATCAGGATTGACATAGTCCTAAGGGGCAAGTTATCTTTTCAAAAGCATTAACAACATTAAGGAGCAGGTTTTAGATTCACTAGCTTACAAACTAATAATCTATTTAGCAATAATCATAGAAATACAAAGCTAGAAAGGACCCATTGAGTCCAGCCTTCTGCAAAGGCAGGATCAAGTAAACCTATGTCATTCCTGACATGTTTGTCTAACTTGTTTTGTTTTTTAAAACTCCCATACAGAACTAGTGTTTTAGTTAGAAAGATTTTCCTAATATGTAACCTAATCTCCCTTGCTGAAGATTAAGATGATTACTTGTTCTATCTTCAGTAGATATGGAGAACAATTGACTGCCACCTTTGTTATACAATCACTTACATATTTGAAGATGTTATTAGGTTCCCCACTCAGACTAGGTCAAGACTATGGGGTTTTTCCGAGATACCTCCACCGTGTCCAGGGAACTCATCTGCTCTTCTGCTTTTTTTTTGCGGAAGAGTAGATGCGCTTTTTCAGAAGCCCTGCCTTCCTCCTCCCATGAGGAAGAAGGGCTCTTCTGAAAGGGGGGGTTCCCAAAATTTGGTCCAGTGTAGATGGCCCAAATTTTGGAAAAGCCTCTTCCGAAAAAACTATCGGGAAAAAGGTATGCAAATTGTGGACTGCAATTTGCATACCTTCTTCCGATAAAGCCCTGTAGTATAAACATAGCCTCAGTCTTATTTTCTCAAGTCTAATCATAACTATTTGTTTTGTTTGTTTTTCTTTTTCTCATGGGTCAGGTTTTCTAAACCTTTTATCATTTTTATTGTTCTCTTCTGGACTGTCCAGTTTGTCTACATCTTTCTTATAATATGGTGCCCAGAACTGGACACAATATACCTTCAGAGGCTTCACCAATGCTGAGTATAGCAGGATCTTCCATATGATACTTCATTTAATACATCCCTCAATGATATTCACTTTTTTTGCAGCTGCATCATATTCAATTTCTGATCTACTACTTCCAGGTTCTTTCCAACAGTACTACTGCCTAGCCAGTTATTCCTCATTTTGTAACTGTGTATGTGATTTTTTTTCCTCCCATACTTTGCATTTATCTTTATTGAATTTCATCTTGTTGATTTCAGACCAATTTTTCAATTTGTCAAGATAATTTTTAATTCTAAATCTGTTCTCCATTATGTGCAACCCCTTTCATCTTGGTGTCATCTGCAAAATTTGTAAGAAATCTCTCCACTCCATTATCCAAGTAATTAATGAAAATATTAAATATTACCAAGCCCAGAACAGAGCTTCATAGGATCCCACTAAACATGTTTTTACAGTTTGACAGAGAACTGTTGACAACTGCTCTCTGAGTACGGTTTTTCAACTAGTTATGTACCCACTTTATAGTAATTTCATCTGGATCACATGGGTATGTCAATGGCCTTACTAAAACAAGATATACAGATCCATGGCTTCCCCCACCTATTTACAAGTACAGTAACTCTGTCAATGAAGGATTAGACTTGTTTTATTCTTGATAAATCTATGCTAACCCTCATCATCCTGTTGTCCTCTAGGTATTTACAAATTGTTTAATTATTTGTTCCAGTATGTTTCCGTGTATCAAAGCTATAATGGCTGGTCTATAATTTCCCAGGTCCTCTTTGTTCCTTTTTTAAAGATACCAACAATGTTTGCACTTCTCCAGTCCTCTGGGACTTCATCTGTTCTCCATGCATTGGCTGCGTCTAGACAAACAGTTTTATAGTAGCAGAGCAAACATTTAAGCATTACCTTATAATATAGGATACAGACTTATTAAGTAGGTTTAATACATGCATCATTCTACAAGCCTTTCATAAAATTTAAATGCTAAATACATTGTTATCACTCTCATAAGTATTTTGATAATACTAATACAGAGATAAGCAAGACTAGTTTCCAGCTGTGCATTTGGAGGTATTAAGTGAGGCCTAGTGACCTACTCTTTTTTTCCCTTATTGTTAATGGTAATCATGTTAACTATCTGGTCACAAAATTTTTTTATGAAGACTGAAACAAAATAGGTATGAAACTCCTCTGCCTTCTTGATGTCACTCATTATTAGCTCTCCTTTCTTGTTAAGTATCAGACTTACATTTGTCTTTGTCTTTCTCTTGCTCCTAATGCAGGACCACCCCCAGAGGACTCGTTTATTATTATTATTTTCAGGTCATTAAGGTATCCCTGATGGAGTCATATTGACCTCTTGCTATTCTTTTACATTAAGATAATTTGCTGCTGTTCCTTTACAACTGTCACAGTGAGAAATTGCCAGCACTCCTAACTTTTAGATTTTCTTTCCATGGGACCTTGTCTACAGATCTTTGAATTTGTTAAAGTCTGCAGTTTGGAAGTCCATTGTCCTTATCTGACAGCTCTGACTCGTCCTGTTCCTTGGAATCATTACATCTCTCATTTCAGGATCACTTGCCCACGTTGTCTTCAACCTTAGATACTCAACCAAATTCTCCCTGCTAGTCAGAATCAAGTATAAAATGGCCGTCTCCCTCACAATTTCCTCCATCTTCTGAAACAAGAATTTATACTTAACACGTTCCAAAAATTGACTGGAGAGTTTTGTTTTGTCTCGTGTGACTTTTCCATTAGATGCCAAGGTAGTTTAAATTCCCTTTCTACGAGGTCTTGTTTTATATATTTTTGTTGTTTGTTCTAGCAATGCCTCATCTCGGGTGCTGGAATAGGGGAGGCTAGGGAGCCATGTTCTCCCCACTTTTTACTGGCCAT